GTGAAGCATCCAAAAACATGTCAAGATGGCTTTTTTAAATGTCGTAATGGTGTCAGCTGCTGGTTTCAAGTCTGCTAGTTTGGGAAGGACGAGGCGGTCCGTGCTTCACCTCGTGATCCACATCCTGAGGCTTCAGGAACCGTCAGGTCTGTGAACCTGCCAATTATCATCCCTGTCAGCTGTGTCAGAACTAAATGCTTTCGATCATATTTTACAATCATACAAAACAAGAAAAGAAGGGGAAATCTTCACGTACAAGGAACTATTAATCTGAGGTTAATGAGGTTGATGAAAATGAGGTTTTCTAATCTAAATGATTAGAAAACCTCATTTTCTCTGAGGTGTTGGCAGGCACCCTGCTCTCTTCTGCTGAAGCCTGCTGTAAGTGGCTGCATCGTCAGCCCGGGCCACATCGGGTGTTGGCGTTTAGCACTTTCAGTTTGCAGCGTTTCTTGTTGGAAGAAGCGGCGAGGGTTAGCGTTTCAGCAGGTGGCTCCTCTTACCTGCAGCCGTCAGCAGGGCCGGAGAATAATACCTGCATCAGGTTACCACAGCATCTCATCTAACCAGCCTGCTGCATTATAATTATGAGCCCTGAGATCCAGCTGGAGAGCTCCGTCCAGCAGGTAATAGCGCTGCGGGGGGCCTACACGGAGCTCTGGCTGAGGGGGGGGCAGCAGCTCCCCTTTCCAGGAAAAAGGCTGCGGGGCTGGGCATGAAGATGCAGGATCCTGCTCTTCCACAGGAGTGTTGGGTGTCCATCATGCAGAGGTGTAGCGTTACAGCACTTTATCTTTTCCCTTCATCCCTCTGCCGTCATTACCTCATCAGTGACCACAGACACGCTCGCTCACAGAGAGCCCGTCTGTTCACGACCCCGGGGGGGGGGACCGGGGTTCTTAAATTCTTAGTATTTGCATTTGATTACTGCGGCTATTCATCTGATGCTCTGAACGCGAGCCACCTAGCTAATCTGCGGCAGGGTCAGAGAGTGACGGTGTGGTCTACAGCGGGGCAGACAGGCCGTGATATATGGGGCCGTGGGACACTTGTCCCCGTTAGACCCCACACCGCCCCAATGAGGGACCAGATCTGAGCTTCATGGGGAACAAGAGTTTGACTGAGCACAGACAAAGCCCTGAAACAGAAACCCAGCCACCCCCCGCTACTATTACCCATCTACTGCCTGAACACACCGAGAGCCCCAAAAGAGACGAGCAGGAATAGAGCAGCGTAAATCTCACGCCCAGGCGCACTAAAGCAGAGGGGGGTGAGGGCCGAAACAGACAGCGAGCAGGAGAAAACAAGACATACCACGTAGCCATGAAACAGCCCCGGAGGCATGCTCACAATGACAACGTGCTGATGATTAGCAGCTCAGCACGGCGACTGTTTCAGATTGCCCTGTTCGCTCATCCTGATGGTCATTTCATTCAGGTCATAAGCCAATAAATGTGGTAAAACTGCACCATAAATTAAAATACATCTTAATGAAAAGTCTCAAATTATAATATTTCATCCTGAGGGGAACATGAAGAAAAAAAGCTGCTGATGGATTTTAAATATAACAGAGGACCAAAGTCATTTAAGGTTATCCTCGGGAAGAATCGGACCCATGTAAACATAAACGCTAGATTTAAAAAATCAATTTAAACCAACTAAAATAATTTTAGTGATCTTGGAAACTACAGTAAAATAAAATTACAGCAGAAATATCTGTGGATTTGGTATTTGTTAACTTCAACTGTCTGATGACGGTTTAGTCCACTGCTTTTAAAATGTTCTGTTTATACTGTGATATCCAGACTGAATAAAAAACATACTGAAACTGTCAATGTAACAAAATATTATCAAATAATAAAATCTAAAGCTGAAATAATAAATAAAATAAAATACAAACTAACGAGAAGAAGAATCCTTCAGCATCCATAAAGTAGATCGTAGAAAATAATACTCTTGGAAAATATCAAATGCGCAGAGCTTCGTGGAAAATGGCACGAATGGCTTTGCATGAATCTTCATCACATCCATCCAACAGCTAAGGATGGGGTTCATCCTCAGGGAACAAACCACTACTCCTTACAGACTGATCCGTTGAGTCGATAGGACACAGCATGAGTGAAAATCTATCAGAAAATCACTCAAATGTATCCTGCAGAAACTAAGAATATCCAGACAAAACATCAGGGCTGTCCTGTTCCCATTTGAATGCCTCGACCATCACAGTCATAGACCGGCTGATGAAAAAGAAAAAGCTCTTTTATGAATATCTGTAGAAACTATCATCACAATCCATCCAGAGTGACTGTTTTAAGAGAAAAACTTCCTGTTTCATAACCACCAGCCTTAGGATTCACCCTCTTTGAACGAGTTATGTACCAATCCAACAAGCAGGAGTTGATGTATTTTAATAAATGAGTGAAAGCTTGGTCTGGTTGTGGTCATGGCATCACCAAAATTATTTGAGTTAAAGCTCGAGTGTCACAGCAGTCCAGAAGTCACCCTCTCAGGACCACGAATGCCTTTCCAGACTTTACACCTCTGCATTATTTAGAGATAAGAAACAGAATAACTGTGCTACAGATTAGCTGTTACAGTTGAGATCATTAAGATTCACCCTCTGGGGACCACGAATATCTGAACATGCCAGAGGAATCCCCACCAGAGCCGTGGAGCTGTTCTTCTTAGACGATAACCTCATGGTTGGACTAGAGAAAAGTTAAAGATTCAAAAGTCATTTTCATTGTCCTCTGGGGACCACGAATGCCTTTAAAACATTTCAGCCTTTACACTAACTTTACATGTTACTGGATGAGTGAGAGGCTTGGAGGTTTTTGATAGAAGAGTTTATCCTCTGAGGACCGTGAACTGCCTTTTTTGGCAGTCAAACTGAAAGAGCCTTCATGACTAAAAATGAGGAAATGTGTCAAGTAGACAGGCGAGATGCAGTAAAACATTTTTTATTGTCAAAGAAAAGTTGAAAAATAAAATAAAAACAAAAAGGTAGAAGAATACATGAGCGTTTAAACATCAGCATAGAACCAATCATGAGGTAAGATCCCATTATTGTGGTTTAAAGTGTTATTTGATTGAGACGAGCTAAAACACAGCTGGTTTTACTGAGAGTCCCTCGAGTGTATTCACACCTCAGAATACACAAAACAGTGAGCCTGGTCTCTCTGAAGTAAACAGCATGAATGGACTGTAACATATAACAAATATCACTGTACAATGATTGCACTTTCACACATGTTTAGAGGACAGTTACTGCAGCTCAGCAGTTAAAGACTGTCCCCGTCCTTATGCAGCGTGATTTGGTTTAGTCTGAATCCAGCTCTTTTGTTCCCGTCCAGCAGTTCCCCAACTTTATCGCACACCAACACAAAAACATTTCCTCATTGCAGTAAAACGCGCACGGCCGCCCCGTCGAGTCCCAAGTGTTGTTCTTGGCACATAGAAGGTCAGGTATTCATTTACAAGCCACCGTGGCCTCTTTAAACTGTGCATTTTAAGCTCCTAATGGTTCTTTGTTGGAGAATTTTGCCTCAGGCTGCTTTGTGTTTATTTTAACTTTTACACCGCGAAGCTGTGACGCGTCCTCTGCTGCGTTTCTTTATATCTACCGGCTACAAAGTCACAGGAAGGAAGAAAGAAAGCCGTTACTTCTACAAGCCATATACGTCAGTCTGTTTTTCTGGAAAACGTTAAGCTAACATGAATAATTCGTTAAAGTTGTGCTAGTTCATTCTGAAAATAAAGAGTTAGTACCAAAAAACCCCACGCCAAAAAAAGAAAAGAAAACTAAATGAGTAAATCACATCTACACAGAACATAATTTGGCAAAAATCTCATCATCAGTCTGTCGTTGCATTACTCCTGATTCCACTTTAACAATTAAAAAAAAGTCTTAGTTGATCAACTGTTCACTGAAAATATCTTTCAGGCAACATGATCTCCTTTTTCACAATAAAACACTTTCGTGACGTAAACAGAGACCATGTTGTGTCGTCTGTAAGGCCTGGTCACACCAGAGATCAATTTGTTCCAAAATAATTGTGCCGATTGGTGGATTCATGCTGTTAGCTGTTTATTTCTGAAAGAAAACGTGGATCTCTCTGATCAGATGGAGTGGCTTTGGTTGCCGGTGGATTGCATAAAATAAAAGTTGGGCTTTATCGCCAAAACCAACTCAATGAAAAGCCATACGGTCTCTGATTCCAGTTAGCGTCGCACTTCTCACAGTTTCATTACCGCTTGGTGAGTAGCTGACGTGTGTTTGCAGTTCCATGCAAACTACTGGTGGGAGGAGCAACCCGCTAGCAACCAAAGCAAGCACAACAAGGTTGTGGTGTGGCATTGTGTTCCTATTCTAAGTAATTTCACAATATCAACTGCCAGAAACCACATGCAGCCAAATCCACACTTTTCTGTAGTGGTAAACCGAGTATAAAACATAATGAACTGGCAATGTTTTTGTGTAGTTTTGAGAGAGTTTATTTTGGGGGTTCTCATCTTCCTGTTACGATGGAGTGGACTAGAGACTGGCTAACTTATTAGCATTATCTGTAGGAGCTCTATGTAAGAACATAAATGTCTGAATCAGTTTGAATGGACATTAAACTAGAAATAAAGTCTACTTGCATTTAGCTCCAGCATCTTTAAACTACACCCTCCCTAACAGCTCAATGATTGGCCAACTTCTGGAAGCTTACTGAAGGGCAGCAATCAGTGCTTGTGAGGGCTAATGACCGCTGGAAATGTAGTTTAAACAAATGTTTACATCATTATGTGAAACTCGTTTAGCAGGAACACCGTCCACCCCTGGCCCCGTGTTCTCACAAACACACGAAGGGAAACATGACGCTAAAATTACCGTGCTACCTTCTGGTGTGTCCAGGCCTTCACTCTGAAAACTTTCAATTTCAAGAAAAAAAGGAAAAAACGTTCAGTGTAGTTTTTCTGTGGAATATGAACTGCTGCTGTACATCGTGGCATCATTGTTCGGTAGGCATTGAGTGTTTATTTCCAGCATTGAACCTGCGTAAAAATGTTTCTCTAAAAATACTTTAAACATCTTGAAAAGGACGGTTAAGCTTGCATGAGGATAAAAAAAAGAGTATTTTATTCCCAAGTTGTGTTGAGAAGCGTTCTTAGTTTGTAAGACGACCTGGAAATTATTCCTCAAAGGAGGGTGTCCATCCTGCTGCTGGGGTCCCCACCCAATGAGTCCTCGAGCCCAAACAGCTGGTCTAAGTTGACGGTGGAGCTACAGAGGAAATCACTGCGGCCGTGATCCTCCTCCTCCTCTGGCCAGGGGTTCTCCAGGAAGGCTGTGGCAAGGAAGGTCTCCTCATCAAAGTCAGACATGTTGTTACTCCTCTCTGCCTCTGCTGAGCCTGCAGGGGCTTCAACAGGAGAAATGTGGGTTCCCCGCACTGTTAGGTCCTCCTCTTTCATGATGGGGCTCAGAGGCTCACCATCTTCCAGACTGAGCTCCCCGCTGAGGGCAGAATCCAGAAGGGCGTCCCAGTCGAAGTCCCCCTTCAGAGGTCCAATCTCCTTCTGTTCATCCATGGAGAGCAGAGGGGAGCTGGACCGACGGGGGGCTTTGGCAGCACCATTTCTAGAGCCCTGCTTCCTCTTGAGCCCACTCCTTCCCCTGACCACCGGCCAGGACCCCAGCATGGTCCCCTCAGCCAGATGGGGGTCCCAATTCTGATCAGCCCCCGTTGCCTCTTCGAACTCTCGAAGAAGCCTTTGGGACTCTGGGTTGACGCAAAGCCCGATCTGTCCTCTGGGCTGAGGCTGCATGTTCACCCTGAGTCTGTTCCGCAGGGCCGGGTTGATCTGGACGGGCGGCATTCGTCTCTTCTTGTAGGCACCGCTCAGGAGGCGCTCAGCGTACTGCGGGTCAATCTTCCAGAAACCTCCCTTCCCGGGCTCGTCCTTCTGCCGCGGCACCTTGATGAAGCACTTGTTGAGCGAGAGGTTGTGTCGGATCGAGTTCTGGAAGGAGGAATGTATATTTTAAATAACAGCTCACACACGGTCTTCATTCAGCTCAGATCATCAGATTGATGTTGCTCTTATTTGTGTTCAGCACATTTGAAGCTGCAGCCTGGCTTAACAGTTAGCTTAGCTTAGCTTAGCATAATGGTAGTAACATGTTTACAAAAACTGTTTCAGTCTGTGTAGATAATTTCCCCCTTCATAACTGTACAAGGGAGAATGTTTGGATAACTCTGGATTACAGTTTGCATTATTAGAGGCGTGGCCTCTGTGACTGACAGGTGTATGGTGACACTGGCGGCTGTCTGCTAGCTGTCTGCTAGCTGTCTGCTAGCTGTCTGCTAGCTGTCTGCTAGCTGTCTGCTAGCTGTCTGCTAGCTGTCTGCTAGGCTTCTCCGCAGCTAGCTAGAGACCCTGAACTAAATCTCTGGACCATGTTTGTGCTGTTGGAGCCTTTTGGAGGATTTTTAATTATCTAACCAATAATATGGATGCTGTGAAGTTACTGCACTAACAGACCGTCCAACAGGTCTGAGCTCCAGTTTTAGTGAGTGAAATTCTAGGACTAATTGGATGTTACTAAAAAGCCAAAAAGAATTCCTAAATGTTCATGCTAAGAATAAATGGCAGAGAAATCTCCTTTAAAGTAATACAGGTACATGTGTACTATATCTGAAGTCCTTTTTTGCCTTAAGCCAGGAAATCACGGAGCCAAGGATGTCAGGTGGGAGCTGATCCCAGTATGCTGCCTTTAGCACACCTGCTAAACCTGTGAGCTAACCTGCCCGCTCATGTTTCCTTTTATGATCCTTTAAAATTAACCTTAATTTAAAATTCTTTTATTTTCAGGCATCCTTCCATTTTTGGCTTGGGTAACAATATTTACATCTTTATTTTAACACACATGAGTTGCTATAAAGTTGCTGGTATGTAGCTTTTTAGGTTCAGATACCTTTAAGTGTCTTTTCAGCAACAGACTTTAGCTTTTTGTGGTGCAGGAAGTACAGCTAGCAGAGCATTGTAGTCAGTTATAATGTGCTGTGTATCCTTGCATTCAACCATCCAGCCCCTCTCCACTCAGGTCTAAACAGAGCGATGACCCTGTGACCTTTGTTAAATATTATCTGCCCCATGTACTGCCTTACAATAACAAAATGCTCTGAAATGTCTGAGGCTGAAACTCTGGGAGTGCAGCGAACGGCTTCATCAATCATTGATCCAACAGAATTAAAGTTTTCTGAAAAACTGCTGCTGCCTTCATGAGAAAGAATCTGCTGCGGTTACTCCTACTGAGCTGGTTTCAGGTATTATGCTGCTTAAAAAAGGAAAACAAAAAGTGCAATCCTGTTAAAGTTTGAGTGTTTTAGGCCTCAGTTATTAATTACACACAAAGCCAAGTGGCAGCAGGCCCAGACCTCTGTTCTCAAACAGAATCACATCCAGCTGTGATGTGACCTGAGAGAAACTCATTTTCACACAATGAGTGCAGCAGGTGGCACATCCTGTGTCAGGTGGACTGCCTGTGTGTGTGTGTGTGTG